CAGGTCAGAAGGGCTACATCCCATTTTTCGTCCCTGACCTCATTGGGCCTCACCCGAAAACGGCCGCCAGGGCAGTGGCCATGAATAGCCAGGCCACAAGGCTCGACAGGGGTGGGCCCCAGGTCACAGGGAGGGCGCTCTTTATTTCTGGAAGGGCCCTGGAGCAGGAGGCTGGCTCTTGTCCTCCTCCGCCCATCCTTCTGTCCTCTTGACAGGTGCTATGGGGCGGAGGTGGCAGCAACAGCCTTCCTCAGCTGCTGCAGCAGCTCCTTGGGCCGTGGTGAAAACATGCTGGTGTCCACTCTTTGGAAGTCGGGGTGTGCAACCAAGGAGGCCAGCACGTCTGTGATGCGCCCAGCGTCAAAGGCTGCTTGTTCGAAGCCCAACCCAGCATCATCCTTGGCAGCTGCCTCCCCCAGGACCAGAAGCCTCTTCTCAGCAATGACCTTGAGGAAGTGGTAAAACTCTGCAAAGTTGATGCCTGAGCAGGACCTCATGATGACCTGGGCAGAAGGAAGAGGCCAGTGAGCTGAGGATGCAGTTCAGGCTGCAAAGGACCCGACATGCGCTCATTCCCCAAGAACGGAGAGGACCAGTAAGACAGAGGCACTGAGAAGCCGGCGGGGAACAAGGGAGTCTGAGCCACACAGCCCAAATGCCTCCCCGGGGCTCAGCCCAGGCTACTCCACACTCTCACAGCCTGCGCCTACCCACAGCTCGGCCTGACAGCCACACCCACCCCGAGCCTGCAGGCCTCATGAGGACCTGGCCCCCGTGGCCTCTGCGTGCAGCCGCCCCACCTGGCAGTGGTGGTGCCAGTCTGGCATGGAGTCCCTCCACTCGCTGACCTCCTCCTGCACGGCACACAGCTCCTGCTGCAGGAAGCGCCACATGTTGGCCAGGTTGAAGCCATTGACCCAGTTGTGGTTGATGGAGATGGTGTCATCCTGGAAGGGGCACGGTGCAGGCAGGCCTGAACCCACGGCAGGTGCCCTCCAATCAGCCCACACCTCCTGTGCCAGGAACCCACTGTGGGGTCCAGCCCTCTGCAGCCAAAAGGGCCCTCCTGTCTCCCAGCGGGCCTTGCTCAGCAGGGAAGTGGGTATCGGACTGGCACCACCTCAGGCCACAGTGAACCCAGGGCAAGTAGATCCAGGGACCAGCAGAGGGTGAAACAGAGGCTGGGTCTCAGCGATGCCACCTTGTGAAGGGACCAGCCTCACCCGTGAGCCACCCCATCCCAGCCCTGCTCTGGCTGGGACAGTGGGGAGGAGGCGCTGCCGTCCTCCTGCAGGAAGGCCCCTGACAGGAGTAGGAGAGCAGCACATCCTGGATCCAGGTCTCGGGGCGCCTCACTGCCTTACCAGGTTGTGCACCTGGTGGTGCCAGCCACTGGGCACAAACAGCATCTCGCCCGCCTCCTGCGTGACCTCCAGGGGTGGGCAAGCAAGCTGGCCCTGCGGGTACAGGTGTGTGTCGAAGAGTGCTGGGGAGGTGACATCGTAGGGTAGGCTGCCGTGGCGGTCCCGCAGAGTCTCCTCCTGCCCTGGGGGGAAGAGGAGCCACTTCTTCCTGCCACAGATGTTGACGGACCAGCTGAAGGAGCGGAATATGTCAGCGTGGAATGGGGACCTGCAGCAGCAAGAGCGCCTGGTTCATGCCTGCAGGGGCTGGTACGGGCTTTGCTTGGCACCCCAGAGGCCTCCAACTGAAGGAGGAGTGGCCCCTTGGTCTTGAGGCACCCACTGCGAGGCCTGTGCCAAGCAACCCCCTCTTGCCACCCTGAGCCTCCCGGCCGGCCACCCCACATCTGTGGTCTCACCAGCTGCCTGCAGGCCCTGCATACACAAAGCGATAGTCGTCCACCTCCAGGGCGTCCCAGAACTCATTCAGCCAGTCAGACGAGAAGTACACCGGCAGGGTGAACGCGTCCTCCGCCGCCGTCGGGAAGTCCCTGTGAGGAGGGTGTGAATGTACTGCCAATGGCTCATGAGACACAAGAAGAGCAGGATGGCACCAGCGCGCACCTGAGACCGCTCAGCTCCAGTGCAACTGCCAGATGCCTGCAGCCAACGGGCCCCAGCACCTTCTCTGAGCCAGCTGCTGCTGCTGGTGGGGTAGGGGGGGATGTTCTGACGACAACGGTTCTGCTTATGAAAAAGTACTGCTCACACCTATAATAGTGTTTTGAGAGGCTGAGGTGCATGCATCACTTGATCCCAGGAGTTCAAGTCCAGACAGGGCAACATGGGGAAACTTAGACTCTTACAAAAAAAAAAAAAAAAAAAATTAGCTAGGCGTGGAGGTGCATGCCTGTAATCTCAGCTACTAGGGAGGCTGAGGGGATCCATCCAAAACCTAAAATGCAGTAAAATAAATAAATGGGGAAAAAAAAATAAAATAAAAAAAGGAAAAAAACCCACCACATTGACCTCCCAAAGAACAACACTTGCACCCATGCCGAACACAATCCAGTTTCTTTTAAACAGATTAAAGTACTTCAAGGGGGAAAACAGCTCCTCTTTGTGCCGCCGGGGCACCTCCATGAGAAAGGCCTCTGGGTTCCAGCGCTAGGGAAGGCAGCGCCTCGGTGCATCCCAAGCCCCATTACCTGCAGAGGTGCCAGTCTTTGAGGTAGAGGCAGCCCCGAGGAGAGGAGTAGCCCCCCCGGATGTACTCTTTCCAGTAGGCGATGTAGTCTCTGAGGGGCATGTGCTCTTTGGGGTTCGAGTTGTATTCCTGGACCCCACAGTTTGCCACTGGTACAACCACGTCTCCTGAAATGAAAGTCGGGCACGGTCCATGCCATCTCCCTGCGCCCCGTCCTCACTCCAAACTGTCTGCAGAGGACTCTCCAGGGGCCACGCGCCCGGCCCCCTCCCCCTCCTGGCGCCGCTCTCCGGGCGGGGACCTCCCGAGCCTGGGTCCCCAGGCCTCCCCTCCCTGCCCGGGGTCTGCGTCCGCTGCCCCACCGTAGGTCCGCAGCAGGTGGTCGAAGTCGGGCCTCCCCGCGGGTGTCACCCAGCGCCGCCGGCTGCCCCAGCCCTGCGTGAAGGCGCTGGAGAACACGCAGGGCAGGTTGGGCAGCAGGAAGCCCCGCACGAAGTCGGCGTAGGAGAAGGCGCCGGGATCCGAGACAAAGGCCACGCGGCCCGGGGCCCGGCCGACGCCGGGGACACCGCCCCCCAGGCCTCGGAAGTGGCGGTCGGCAAGCGCGCGCGTCTCGCGGTCCATCCCGCCGGGCGGGGGTCGAAGGACCCCCGTCCTCACTTCCGCCGGAGCGAAAAGGGTACGGACAAGCCTCGGAACCAGAAGCCGCAAGGCGCTGCGTTTTCGCCCGACCCTCGCCGGGGGCGCCCGCCCCGCACGCCCGCCCTGCGCCTGCGCGCGGCTCGCCGCGATCTTCCCTGCGCAGGCGCCGAGTGGTGGCGGCGCCTCGGGTCTGCTCTGGGGCGAGTCTGGCGTCCCTCAGGTGAGCGACGGCGCTGGCCTTTTGGGGGCCCGGCCCAAGCACTGGTGTCCGCCCTCGGCTCAGTCCGCGCGCTGTGGCTGACACAGCCCGAGACCTCCTTCCCACATCCCTGGCGGGGTGGGGGGTTTGCGGGCTGCGCTGGGAGAGGGGCGGGGACAGAGGCGGTCCCGGGCGCTGCGGTGCGGCGGTGTGGGGGCGCCTAGGGATGATGGGACCTGGAGAGAACGGTGGGACCCAGAGGGAGATCTGGGGGGGCCCTAGGATGGTGGGACCTAGCGGAGATGGCAGGGTCCTGGAGGGGACGATGGGGACCTGGAGAAGATGGTGGCACTTGGAGAGGATGGGGACAGTAGGGACCTGGAGGAGACGATGGGACCTGGAGAGGATTGTGGGGTCCTGGAGGGGATGGTGGGGTCCTGGAGGGGATGGTGGGGTCGTGGAGGGGATGGTGGGGACCTGGAGGGGATGGTGGGATCTGGAGGGATGGGGACAATGGGGGTCTGAAAAGGATGGTGGCCTCTGGAGGACATGGGGGCAGTGGGGACCTGGAGAGGATGGTGGGGTCCTGGAGGGGATGGTGGGGTCGTGTACAGATGGGGACAGTGGGCGCCTGGAAAGGGTGGTGGCACCTGGAGGACATGGGGGCAGTGGGGACCTGGAGGGGATGATGGGGACTTGGAGGGGATGTTGGGGACCTGGAGGGGATGGTGGGGATCTGGAGGGTACGGTGGGACCTTAAGGGGATGGTGGAGTCGTGGAGGGGATGGTGGAGATCTGGAGGGGACCTGGAGGGATCAGTCGTACCTGGATGGTACAGTGGGATCTAGAGAGGATGACAGGGACCTGGAGGAAAATGTAGGGGGGGAGTTGAAGGGGTCGGGGTGACCTAGATGGGAGAATGGGGCCCACAGGGGACCTGGAGGGCATGGCAAGGGGCCCCAGGGGACGACCGGTGTCTGGAGAAGATGGTGGGGAATGAGGGAGGGTGTGAAATGAAGTTGTGGTGGGAGTGTGGGTGGGGATTTGGGGCTTGTGTACACATGAGCAGGGCTGAAATCGGAGGACATCAGAGTGGTGACATGCGGAGTGTTTTGCCGAACTTGCAACTGGAGTCACCCCAAAAGTGGCAGCAAGGGAGTTCCCCACACTGTCCTCAGGTGGGACCAGTTGGGATTAAAAAGAAAGAAGTGCTAAATGCATGGGAAGCCCAGAGCAGGTTTTTTTTTTTTTTTTTTTTTTTGTTTTGTTTTGTTTTGGAGATGGTGTGCAGTGGCACCATCACAGCTCACTGCAGCCTCCACCTCCTGGGCTTGATCAGTTCTCCTGCCTCAGCCTCCCAAGTAGTTGGGACTACAGATATGAGCCATCATGCCCAGCTTAGTTTTCTTTTCTTCTTTTTTTTTGTTTTTCTTTTTTTATAGAGACAGGGTGTACAAAAGCAACATAGACACAGGTCCCTGTGTTGCCCAGGTTGGTCTTGAACCTTTGGGCTCAAGTGATCCTCCTGCCTTGACCTCCCTAAGTGCTGGGCTTACAGGTGTGAGCCACTGCGCCAGGCCCTGTGTAGAGCCTTTGTCAGCGGAACTTTCATACAGAGTTGGCTGCAGCAGTCCTTGAGATGGGCAGTAAGGGAAGTGGGATGTCCTCCCTAGGTATTTGCCTGGCAAGGGGGGTGGGTTACGGAGTTTATAGGAAGATTTCAGGAATTTGGCTCAGGGGCAAGATCATTTTCTTTGTAGATAGCTTCTTCCAGGCCTGGAAATGTTCAGGGCCCTGGACTGGGTTGAAGCCTGATTGGAAAAACCTGTGGTTGGGGCACAGAGGGGTCAGGGTACTCCATGATCTTTGGCCAGGACATGAAAGTGGGGGGCCATGGGGGACTGTATGTGATGTATGTCTTGGTGTGCTGGAGAAATCAAAGACTTGACAGCTCAAACCTACCCACATGGACACAGAGGGAAGAGAGCAGATTTATTGCCCCTGAAGCCTGGCAGGCTGTGTGCATGTAGGCGCTCTGCGACAGTGTGCAGAGTCTGGGCAGTTTCCCAGAGGCCTTGACAGGGAGGCGGAAGGAGGAACAGTTAGAACTGCTCATCTCTCCCAGAGAATTGAGAGGCAGCTTTTGCTGGTTTGCTCTCAGTGAGAGGCCTTTGATTTGGGTTTGGTGGTCTGATGATGACAGTCTAGGGGCTGGCAGGCCATGACTGTGTTTTGTGAAATCTAGACACTGGCCTGTCTCATCCCAGACCAAACGGAGGCGTCCTAAGGGAGAGGGAGACACCTGCCTTCCCTTTATGAAGTGATGGCAATGTTGCTTTATTTACTTTTATGAGCGGGGATAAGGGAGGTTCTGGCTGCCTTCCCTTTATGAAGCAATGGCAGTGTTGTTTTATTTACTCTTATGAACGGGGATAAGGGAGGTTCTGGGAGTGCTGGGGCTCTGATCCTTGCTGGGGACTCTTCCAAGGATTGCGAGGTTTACCCAGGAGAACAGGGAGGATCAGAAGAGGGGAGGACTAGGAGGAAAGCGAGTTTTGGGATTCGGAGTCCAGTGGAGGTGGGATTGGGGGCCATGGGGTCAGGGGCAGGAGGTGGGGAGTTGCTTTGAGGATTGTGTGATTCAGTGTATGCTGTGGTCCCTTCCTGGTAAGCCCCATTGTGACTTGTTTGGTCACAGTATGGAATTCTTTATTTGTTTTTTTTACACTAGAAAATGAGAATGGCTGGAGAAGTAGCAATTGAGGAGAAAGAATTATCTCCAGTTCCATCCAGAGATGACCGTTTTTGTTTGATTTTTTTAGACAGAGTCTCACCCTGTTGCCCAGGCTGGAGTGCAATGGCGTGATCTTGGCACACTGCAACCTCTGCCTTCTGGGTTCAAGTGATTCTCTTGCCTCAGCCTCCTGAGTAGCTAGGATTGCAGGCATGCACCACCATGTCTGGCTAATTTTTGTATTTTTAGTAGAGATGGGGTTTTACCATGTTAGTCAGGCTGGTCTCAAACTCCTGACCTCATGATCCGCCCACCTCAGCCTCCCAAAGTGCTGGGATTACAGGCATGAGCCATTGCACCTAGCCAAGATGACCATTTTTTATTTCCTGGTGTAGAGCTGGCATTTCTACGTTCCTTCACACGTGCATTCATTCATTCATTCATTCATTCTTCCTCTCTCTTTGCTCTTCTCTCCCCCTAGTCCTTGTCTAAATGTTCACACACACGTGCACACACACACACACACACACACACACACACACAGAATCTTTTTCTATTATGTATAATATACATATGTCAACTTTTGCTGGTTTTAGCCTTTTTAAAAAATTTAACAATATGCTGTAACATCTTGCCACATATTGACCTCGATATTGACAATTAATTGACTTTGCCTTGTGTTGTTCCTTAATTGCTAGTAGTCATTTGATTTTGGTTGTGGCACATGCAGATCACGGGAGGTCAATGGGAAAGAATATGGAATATGGTTCCAAGTTTGCCTCATGGGGAAACTGAAATTCAGGTGGGCATTGCCTGGGAGGAGTTCCTGAAGCCCCGTGGTTGAGCCTCAGTTTCCTAAGAAAGGGGCATTTGGGCCAGCAGGTCCACAGCTCCCCCAGATCACTGAGCCCCTAGGACTTGGTGGGAGATGGAGGTCTTGTTCTTGAGATGGAACTCTGTGCTTTAGTTCCCTGGTCTGCAGGTACCCTCTGGGGTCAGTGTCACCACTGTGTACACAGGAGGCCTGGAGCATCATCTGTTCTGATGGAACTGGAACACATGCTTGTGTCACCTAGAGGCCCCCTAGATCAGCCTTGGCATCGCTTGGGAATGGCAAGAAATGCACATTCTTAAGCCCCACACAGCACTCCATCAGGGTAGTTTTTTGTTTTTAAGACAGTGTCTTGCTCTGTCGCTCAGGCTGGAGTGCAGTAGTGCAGTCTCGGCTCACTGCAGCCTCTGCCTTCTGGACTGAAGTGATCCTCCCACCTCAGCCTCCCAGAGTGCCGAGATTACAGGTGTGAGGCACTGTGCTCAGCCAGGATGGGGTTTTAAGTCAGCACTTTGGAGACATGCAGTTCGCACTGTGCAGAGCATGTGCTCCTCTGTCACTGTGTTGCATGCAGACAGCCCCGGTGGGCGTGTCTGCACCTTGTGGCTAGAGCTGGGAACTTCTGAGGGAGTGGAAAGAGGGTCTGGGGAGCAGGAGAGGGGAGCCTGGAAAGATTGGCCTCACCCTGCCGCCCCCGTGGGCACACACAGCCACCACTGTCCTCACTGAGCTTCTTGGTCACAAGGTAGTGGAAGGTGTGCAAGATGTTTGTTCTGTGACTGTGGAAATTAACTAAAAATAAGTTGTTTACTGGGTACAGAGCCTCACTTAGGGGACCCTTGAGCGCTGGAAATGCTGAAAGAGACCCATTGTACAGATCACCCTGTGTCCTGCAGACTTCCTCCCCAAGGGCGTCACTTGTGTGGGTTGGCTGCACATACCCGTGGGCCCCTGGCCATGACCTCCCTCGAGGATTCAGCTGTGTGTTCTCAGGGTCAGCGTGGGTCCCCAGGCCCACACCTGCACTGGAGGAGACAGATTGCAGATTGCAGCAGGCAGGGACCCCGTGAGGGCTCCAGGACTCAGCACTGGTCACAGAACTAGGTGGTACAGGAGGGCATGGGCACGACCCTGCTTCCATGTGGCGTGGTCATGGTCCACTCAGCACAAATTCATCGGGTGCCCATGGTGTGTAGGCCTTGTGGCCCTCCCATGACAGAAGGTGCCTTCTGTAGTGGGACAGTTGTGAAAGTACCAGCTCTCTCGAGTTTTGCTTGGGCCATGGTTGGTGACAGTGCATTAGGATGGCAAGGAAGCCCTCTGAACAGAGACCTGAGGAGTAGAGCTGCCAGTGTGACTCCTTGGCATGGAAAGGCTGCTGGGAGCAGAGGGCAGAGGGCGACCAGGGCAGGGAGGTTGCAAGTCCTGCAGAGCCCATTAGGCTGAGGTGGGGAACTTGAATCTCATTCCCAGTGTGCAGGGAAAGCCTCTGGGCAGAGGAGTGACATTTTCTAATTCTGTTCAGTGACTGTCTCATTGGCTGCTGGAGGAGAATGGGTGGTGGGGACAGGATGAGGTCAGGAGGTTGCCTGAGAGGTTGTCCAGGTATGGAGGGAGGAAGGACTGCCTTGGATAGTGGAACTGCGGAGAGTAAATAAAACTGTTTCCCGGAGATTGAGTCTCAGGGGCACATGTATGCTGGAAAGACTGAAAGAGACCCATTGTACAGATCGCAGTGTGTGATGAGTGAGTCCCTGTGACTGCGACTCCTTCCCCAAGGGTGTTGTTTGTGCTGGTTGGGCCAGACAATGCCTGTGCCAGGACAGTGGTGTGGCCTTGGGGTGGAGGGTGGGGACACAGCTGTCATGATGGTATGTTTGTGGGGGAAGGAAGAGAGGAGTCAGAACTCCTGGGCCTGTGGCACCTTTACTGAGAGAGGAACTGATGCTGGGGGTACGAAACTGGGGTGCCCATTAGGGGCAGGGGCAGATGTCCAGCAGGTGGCAGGAAAGGAGCTGGCAGAGGGGCTGTGAAGTTGGGGTACCCATTAGGGATGGGGGCAGATCAGCAGGTGATCAGATGCTCGAGTTTGAAGTGTGAGGGGGTCTAGCTGGAGCAGGTGTTTGGGAGGCAGTGGCTTGGGGGTGATGTTGAGTTTCTGGCCTGTGTTGTCTCACCTGGGAAAAGAGGGTACAAGGAGGACAGGTTGTGCCCTCTGCAGTCAGGTGCACAAGGAGGCTCTGCCAAGGAGAGTGGTTGTAGGCGCTCATAGAAGTGGGGCTGGAAGGCCAGGCGCGGTGGCTCACGCCTGTAATCCCAGCACTTTGGGAGGCCGAGGCGGGTGGATCACGAGGTCAAGAGATCGAGACCATCCTGGTCAACATGGTGAAACCCCGTCTCTACTAAAAATACAAAAAATTAGCTGGGCATGGTGGTGCGTGCCTGTAGTCCCGGCTACTCGGGAGGCTGAGGCAGGAGAATTGCCTGAACCCAGGAGGTGGAGGTTGCGGTGAGCCGATAGCGCGCCATTGCACTCCAGCCTGGGCAACAAGAGCGAAACTCCGTCTCAAAAAAAAAAAAAAAAAGTGGGGCTGGAGACCTGGAGAGGGCCGTGGCCAGGGAGCCAGGGTGCAGTGACTCTCAGCAGGGCGCCTCGGCCCATGGCCAGGTCTAACTAACGTTTTTGTAAGTGAGGTCCTGTGGGGCAGTGGCCCCCTTGTCGGTGTCTTGTGGCCACTTTCACTCCACCCTGGCAGAGCTGTGTAGTTGTGGAGACCGTGTGTGGTCCTTCATGGAGAATGTACAGTGCCTGGCGTGGGAAGGCCAGGGAGATCTTAGGGCTGAGAGAGAGAGGGTGGGATCGGTGCCCCTGGAGGAGGGTCTGGCCTTGGAGGTGAGGAGGGATTGTGTGCCCCCGTGGCCTCTGGGTGGGGGAATGGCTGTCCCTCGTGAGGCCATGTCCGAGACTGGGCTGCTTCTGACGTTCTGTGGGGTGTCCTTGCGTCCGTCCTTGCACTTCATTTCTGTTTACTTAGGTTTTCTGGGAAAGAAGTCCTGGAAACCTGCAGCTGGAAAAGTGTGGTCACAAGTTTCTCCTCTGGCTTCTTCCTGGGTTGTTGGCAACTTGAATACTTTTTTTATATTTATTGTTTAAAATGTGATAACGAGAAGAGCCTTGGTTCTTCATGTCCTAATTTCTCAGTCCTTTCCCCCTTCTTTCTTTCTTTCTTTCTTTTTTTTTTTTTTTTTTGAGACAGAGTCTCGTTCTGTCACCAGGCGACAGGCTGGAATGCAGTGGCGCTGTCTCGGCTCACTGCAACCTCTGCCTCCCAGGTTCAAGCAATTCTCCTGCCTCAGCCTCCTGAGTAGCTGGGACTACAGGTGCATGCCACCACGCCCAGCTAATTTTTGTATTTTTAGTAGAGACAGGGTTTCACCATGTTGGTCAGGATGGTCTATATCTCTTGACCTTGTGATCCGCCCGCCTCGGCCTCCCAAAGTGCTGGGATTACAGGCGTGAGCCACCGCGCCCGGCCTCCCCTTCTTTCTTTTTTTTAAAGAGACAGAATTTCACTCTGTTGCCCAGGCTGGAGTGCAGTGGTTCAATCACAACTCACTGCAGCCTCAACCTCCCAGGCTCAGTGATTCTCCCGCCTCAGACTCCTGAGTAGCTGGGACCACAGCATGCCCAGCTTTCTTTTTGAATTCGAAACATTTTAGAGCTGGTGACCTTAGGCCTTTTAGTTATTTTAGTGGTGGGTAAACAGGTCCAGAAGGTGAGGTGATCTTTCCAGAGCTGTAAACTGTGCTGCAACACCAGTCACAGGACTTCTCCAGGGAGGTTGTGCATAATTTCACTCCGCGCTCCTGGAATACCTGCCAGCCATGCCTGCTTAACAATTGTTAGCACACCTTCACTGTCCTCGCCGTGTCTGCGCTCTGTGGAGGTAGTGGTGGTGAGGTGTGGTCCCTCCCCTTGAAGGCCAGGTGTGGCTGAGGTCTGCGCAGCATCTTCAGCTGGGAGCACAGCACAGCAACTCAGGGCTGAGCAAGGAGGGCTGCTGCCCCTCCTGTAGCTACGGGCTTGCCTGACTTTGAGAACTAGGGCTGAGTTGGTGTAGTTTATCCTCCTCCTCATTCTGAGAAGCAGACGCCTTTGTGTCTCTGTAGTCCGAGGCCTGCTGGGTGGCATTGAAGTCGTTGTGGCAGAAGAGGATCCATCATGGGTCCTGTGTGCGGCATGCTGGGCCTTTGCCATGGCCTTGGTGGGGAGTGGGTGGCCCTGGACAGGGCGGGTCCAGTGTGTGGCCCACTGGGCCCTGGCTGTGGTGCTGGGGGTGTAGCTAGGTTGGCCGTGGTACCCTCCATGTGCTGCATGCCGTGCCCCAGAGGGAGGGTGGATGTGGGCTGGTGTGGGAGAAGCTGGGTGGGGGCTCTTCCCTTGGCCACACGGGCAGGCTATGGACTGGGGAGACTAGCCAGGCAGCCCCCATGGTCCAGCCATGCCTCCTTCCCTGTGGTCTGCGTGTGACAACACATGGTGTATTCTCCGATGGCTGTGTCCTCATAGAACGAGGGTCCCATTTCAAGTGCAGGTGCGGCGTTTCCATGTGTCTCGTCCAGCCCTGTGTTGCGGGACATGGTGTTTTGTGTGGCAATTAGAGGGAAGACCTGGCTCCTGTGAGTGCAATCGTGGTGAGCTGCAGGAGCCAGGGGCTAGATCAGGGTGGCTGGTGCCCAGCAGGGCATTTGGCACATGGTGGGACTCATGAACATGTTGCCAGAATGTGGAGGCCCCCACAGCCTCTCTCCATGCTGTGGAAAGCCCACACTTTTCAGTATCTGAAGGGCTTACACTGGCTGGCTGTCCTGGTTGTGTAAGTGAAGCCATGTTGCAGTGAAATTCTGTGAGAGAGAAGTGGGACAAGTGCCGCCCTCCCCATGGTCCCCTCTCTGCTGTCAGAACCTTGGTGAGGTGTCTCCGGCCTGGCTCTGGCCCAGCAGAGTCCTGCGCTTGTGCCTGGATCTCGCACACGGCCCTCGTGTTTTCTTAACCTTACCTTATCTGTATGGCGAGAGGGTTGGGCAGCGTGTTTCATGAGGGTTCACTCAAATCTGTCATCCATGACTTTCCAGACTGCACTGATAAATGTAGTTGTGAAAACACGGTAGGACCTGCATCTGTGTAAAACCGTGTACACACTGTCAGCTAATACCCATACGTGTTACCAGTCAGTTCTGTCGAGTGCTGTGAGATTAGCTGGGGTGATGAGAAGGGGAAACGCTTGTCTGCAGGAATGTTTCTCTGTGCAGTGAAGTTGATGAATGGCAGTTTCCAAAGGGGAGTGTGCATCTAGATGGAACATCATGGCCAAAAGACAGCACTCCTTGGAACGGTCTGAGAATAAGGCCTGGGACAGAGGTCCGAGGCCCAGGGCCCCGCCAACGTCTCCAGCGATGCCCTCCTCGGGTCTCATCTGGCAGTGGACACTGATCCAAGCAGGGTGGCTTTGCTGGGTGCAGGGGCACAGAGTGGTGAGGGGGATGACGGTGTGAACCCTCTGCTTGGGGAGGTGGGCATGAGTCTGGGGCTCAGGGTCCTGGTTGCAAACCAGCCCTCTTGCTCCAGCTGCTCCTCCTTCACCAGCTAAGAGGGCACATGAGCTTCATCCTGCAGCCACAGGTGGGTAGAGTCAGCCGTCTGCTGCAACCTGTGTGAGCCCAGAGCCACAGGGGAGGCGGCATCCTTGTGGGGTTGCCTGTGTCTCCAGTCTATGGATGACGGCACAGCGTCACTGTCTCTTCTCCTTCAGAGGCAGAAGAGGCCTGGACCTCGGCTCCGGCAGACCCAGGAACAGATGAGCAGGGATGTCTGTATCCACACCTGGCCGTGTACCTACTACCTGGAGTCAGAGAGGCGATGGGTGACTGGCCAGCTGTCCTTAACGTCGCTGTCACTCAGGTTCGTGACTGACAGCACTGGCGAGACTCTGGTCAGCTTCCCCCTCTCCAGCATAGTCGAGATCAAGAAGGAGGCTTCACATTTTATCTTCAGCTCCATCACTGTCCTGGAGAAGGGCCACGCCAAGCACTGGTTCAGCTCCCTGCGGCCAAGTCGAAATGTGGTCTTCAGCATCATTGAGCATTTCTGGAGGGAGCTGCTGCTATCTCAGCCTGCGGCAGACGCATCTGCCCCCAGGACCCAGGGCAAGGAGCTGACAGGACTCATGGCCGGATCCCAGAAACGCCTGGAGGACACAGCAAGGGTCCTGCACCACCAGGGCCAGCAGCTGGATGGTGTCATGAGAGGCCTGGACAAGATGGAATCAGACCTGGAGGTGGCAGACAGGTGGGCTTGCTGTGCACACATTGCAGGGCACACACAGAGTAAGGCGCACTTGTGCAGAGGCTCACCGTGCCAGGCACCGCCGGGCCACGGCACATTATCTGTGCACACCCAGCATCCTGAGAGCATGGCTCTGCACTGCTGCACACACTCAGTGGGTACACACAGTAAGATCCGGCACTCGGAGAGCGAGGCTGTGAATGCACTGTGTCCTCTGCTGGAAACACGCAGTGAGGTCCAAGTGAGTGCTGGCTCGCTTCGTGCCGGGCGCCCCTGCTGTCCACTGCACCGTGGAGTCCACACCCAGCAAGCAGAGACCGTGCTGGGATCTTCTTGTGCACTGTTCTGCTGCTGGCTCCTCTGTGGTGATGCGGACAGGCCCTGGCCTCTGAGGAGACAGAGAGGGGACTGAGGGCTGCTTTGGTGATGGCCTCTGAGTGAGGTGCCTTCTGTCAGTGCCTGCCATTTGTTCATGAGCTGTGTTCTTCCATTTCTTGGTATGAAAATCCTAGTATATTTCCAGACAATTTCTTCAGTTTGTTTAAAAGTTATTTTCTTATTCCAAGTCCCCTTTTCTGCTTTCTGAGCCCTGCTGTCTTCTGTCTGGGTATTCGTTTCTTGTTTGGCTTTCTTCTTGTGTTGCTATTCTAGTGTATGTTTCTGGTCTTTGTCTTCCTATCATTTATCATTTGTACTTGCAATTTCTTAGAACTCATGGGTTCCTCTGGTTTCTTGGAAAAACCTTTGGGTCTTGCGTCATGGCCTGAGCATCTTCTGTTTGGATATTATTAATAGCCTTGTTTTGCTTATGGTTTCTGATTTTTCAAGGGGTTTGTTTATTGCCTGTTTTTTTTTTTTGTTGCTGTTGTAGTCATTTTTCCTGAGATGGTGTGTGTGGGGCTGAGGTATCAGCCCTGGGCTCTTTACTGGGACCCTCGGTTCCTCATCCTGGGGTCCCCTGTCTGGAGTGTGAGTCTTGAGGGGCTGCGTTCTAGCTCAGGTAGAAGGTTCACTGACTCTGCCCTCAGGTTCCCTCCAGTCCCTCTTCCAGGACCGGGGCGCGGGTTGCCCACTTGGGTGGGTCCATCTGGGAGCCGAGGGTCTCCAGTGCAGTGCCACGTGGACTAGTACCTGCGTGTTCCTGGTTCTTCCTGCTCCTGCTGGGAGGGTGCTGGTACCACCTCCTCATCACCCTCTAGGGCTCTGGTGTCCTAATCGCATGGTCTCTCAGCGCCCGCTGCTGGCACACCATTCACCTTCCTGGGTTTGCCAAGTCTGCCTGCTTTTCAGTGTCAGGCTGCCACTGTGTTTGTCTTTGGGGAAGTGTGTGTTGAGTCCATATCTGTTGCTCTCTGCCCCCTTTTTAAGGGCACGTCCTTGAGATAGAGAGAGAGAGAGAGAGGGAGAGAGAGAGAGAGAATCTGCGTCTGTGTGTGTCTGTGTGTTGTCTGTGTGATTCTGTTTGTGTGTATATGTGTCCATGTGTGTTTGTATGTGTTGTCTGTGTGTGTATTTCAGTACACATAGCTCAGGTTTTTACATGCTTTCAGTGATTTCTTGAAAAATCATTTTGAAGTGTGTTGTTTCACATTTTGTGATTATTCAGAGGACAGTGAGAACTTCCTCTCAGCACCTACAGCTGCAGCGGGCAGGCAGAACCTCTGTGTCCCTGGAACCTCCCTGGGTACTGGCCACTGTCCCTCAGCCCTAAGCTGGAGTCGTATTGGTGCATTGGTGTTGCATGCGGGTTCATTGGACTGAGGTCGCATTTTCTCCTTGACTGAGAGGAGATCCTTTCAGTCAAAGAGATTGGCTGGCACAAGGATGGAGCTGGGAGATGACAGAGCCCCTGACAACCCCAGCTCCTCTGCATAGCTGACAGGCGTGTGTTCTGCCCTGCCCAGAGTCTGCAGGGGGCAGCTGGAGCCCCAGGGGCAGCCACAGCCCCAAGGCCGTGGCTCTGTTGCTCGGGTCAGTCCGTGTTCTGTTAAGGCCTTCAGTAGGTTGCATGGGGCCTGCCCGCATTATGGGCACAACTACTTTTTTGGGAGTCTGCCGATTTCGATTTAATCTCGTGGGCACACAGCATCATAGACACGTGCAGAGTAGTGCTTGATGACTGGGCCTCATGGCCCCGCTGCATGGATACTAATGTGACCATCCTGGCCTCCGGGAGGCACATGCCCTGGTGAGCTGGGACTAGCCCTCTGCCCTCCAGCCTGTGGGGTTCTGGAGCCCTCCCCGTGATGCCTCTGCCCTGGCTTCCCCTGCCCTGGCTTCCTGCCGAGAGGTGTCCCTGGGCTGGACCCTGAGGGCGTATGCAGGGGGAGGTGTGGGGACAGCACAGAGCACTGGGCCCCAGCCCTGGGTGAGGGCGATATGGTCCTGGAGGGGAGGGTTACATTGTGGCTTTCCCTGCTTCCAGCAGTATCATCCTGCTCCCACTCACAGACAAAACAAACACTGTGGAGAAGGAGCATCTTCGTCTGTGCCCAGCTGAGCTTCTGCCTTGCCGCCTGGCATTGGCACTGGTATTGTGTGTGCGGAGATGGCGTAGAGAGATGGGAGGAGGCTACCAAGGCACATGATTAGCCATCGCATGGACCCAGAGCCCCTGCGTTTGCTGTCGACTCTTGCTGGGAAATGAGCCGGGCACCCAGTGATGGGCCTGTCCCTTCTTCTAGAAATGGAGTAGGTGACCCAAAGACAGGGTGAGCCAGAGAAACAGAGTTCTACCCAGGGTGCCAGCATCTGACCCAGCACCTGGGCCCCTTCAGTGCTCCCTGACCACTGTGGCCCTGATGGTACGGTGAGGAAGAGCCCACGCTGTGTTGCCCACTCTCGTGGGACAGGCCCTCCTGTGTTCACCTGCCTGGTCCCGTGCTGCCACATCTTTCTCCTGCTCAGCAACTGCCTCCTAGGAGCAGCCTACCACCACGCTGGCCCACTGCTCATTCCACCACCTGTCCTGGCCACCGCAGGCCCCACCGCCGGTCCTCTGCGCCCCTATCCTTGCATGCAAAGAGCAAAGTGATGCCCTGTGCCTGCCTGCATTTGTGCCGGTTCCTTCCTAGTGATGGTGCTCAGAGCCCTTTCCCGTCAGGCAGGAGGACTGAAGTTGTCAGCCGGGCGGGACTGCAGGTCTCAGTGTCCAAGACCACCTGGCCTTTGCCCACACCGTTCCCTCCAAGTGTGGGCAGCTTTGGTGCCTTCCCCAGGCCCACAGGCAGGGCTCCCAGCCTCCAGGACCTGCAAGAAACAGAACAGACACAAGAAAAAGACAAATCTGACTCAGGATTTTGAAAAGCAGGTCAGAAAAACAATCTAAAGGAATGGGGCCAATTCCATAAAGACTTTGTTTTTAGGTATAATTATTTTTTCCAGCTTTACTGAGGTACTGCTGACAAAAACTGTGTGTGTTTGAGGCATGCGGCTTGGTGATGCAGTGTTTGTACCCAGCAGTCATGTCCGTGAGCATGTCTCTCACCTCACATACATGTCATTTTGTTTGTTTTTCTTTTTCTCCTTGAGAACACCTAAGATGTGTGTTCTTGGCAGATTTCAAGTGTACTATTAGTATGGAGAGCTGCACCCACCATGTCATTACTGCCCAGAGCTCGTTCATCCTGTAACCGAGGCTGGTGGCCTTGGCCACCCTCTCCCCGCTTCCCCACCCGCCCCACACCTGGCCTTCTCTCTGCTTTTGCGAGTTTGGCACCTTTAGGTCCCACATGTGTCATGCACGGTTTGTCTCTCTGTGTCTGACGCCTTCCACTCAGCATAATGTGCTCCAGGTCTGTCCATCTTGGTGAAATGGCAGGATTTCCTTTTTTTTTATGGCTGAATAAAATTCCATGGCGTATAGACACTGTATTTTTGTACTTGAACCCAGGTCTCGGCCACTCATTGCTTGAAAGCCAAAACTCAGGAGATGAGCTTTGTGAAAGGAAACTTAGCTTTGTTAAGGAAGGCAGTGACCTCGGGGTGGTGGACTCACTTCCAAAGACCACCTCCCCGAGTTGTGACCCCAGATCAGGGCTTTTTAACAGAAATGAGGGGAAATGATCAAAGCATCCTTGTGAAACTTGCAGAGTCTCAGGTGGCAGTTAATCCTGCTTTCTTGGTCAGTGCTTTGTGGCCTTCTGCAGGCACCATCAGTCTATTCTTACCAGGCTGGTCAGCCCGTTCCCAGAGCTGTGGAGTCCCAGAGTGAGTTGTTGGTTCCCAGAGTTGTTGGTTGGTGTATTTCCTTATATTTCTGTTGAAGGTCCTGTTTTCCCAAGGCATTTTTAATGAATAATCTACAGGTTAATGATGTACAGATTATTCATTAAAAATGAACGATAATCTAATCTTCAAGTGAAGCAATAGTTATATTCAAGTAAACAAGCTTTTCTCTTACTTGGAGTCAGTACTGTTCCACTTTCTCTATCCTTTGGCCTGTGGATGGACACTTACGTGGTTTCCATGCCTTGGCCATAGTGAAGCACACTGCAGTGAACGTGGGAGTGCAGGAGTCGCTTTGAGACACTGATTTATTTCCTTTGGGATTGTGGAGGCTGAAGCAACTCCATTGTGGATGCTAACCGGCCTTGTTAACATCTGATGAACTCTAGTTCTGGGAGTGCTCTCAGATGTCCACCTCACTTGTCATTCCTTGTATAAGATCGAGCACTTACCACACACCCTGTTCTTAGGTTCATGGGGCATTCTTTTCCTGCAGGGTCTGTCCTACACATATGTCCCCGGTGGTGCAGGACCGTGGCATGGGATCCACTGCCTCATCTCATCGCTGTCTGAGACACAGACCTGCCTTCTATCCATAAGTCACTCTTAGATGCTTCCTTCTGAGAAGTGGGGTCTGTCAGCCTGTTTCTGTAGCCTCTCAGCTTCCTCATGTCAGGGGCAGGTTTATGTAGGCCTGCCCACCATGGAACAGGTGTAACCCACAAACAGGATTGTGGAGTCATGGTGGTTCTGAGACAGGAAAGGTTGCCTTGTCCCCATCACGGGGCATTCAACAGGGGAGTGGCTGGCTTCTTCAGTGACCTGCTGCTCAGACCTTTAGGGGAGCATGCAGACGGGCAGGCTTTGGGGCTCCAGTTCCACCACAGCGTCTAGGGCTGGATGTTTACAGCTCCTGAAGCCCCAGTGGCCATGTGCTACCATGTGCTCTTTTAGCGTAGCCATCTGTAGGTGGCTTGTGTTAACCAGCTCAATTAGATCTCTACCCTGTTGCAAGGACAGAGGGCTGTATCCTGGGATTCTTGCCTTGTGTACCGGAAGAATCAGATCGCACGTGGGCTTGGAGAATGAGTGCAAGGTTTTATTGAGTGGAAATAGCTCTCAGCAGATGGGGGAGTGCGAAGGGTTTCCCCCTGGAGTCGGGCCACTCAGTGGCCTGGGCTCTCCTCCAACTGCCCCAGCCAAACTCCACGCCATTCTGCCGGTTGGTGGCCTCCAGGCATGCTGGTGCCTGTCTGTGCATTCCTCTCGGCATGCAGCTGCCTGTGTGTCCCCTTGCTGGTGGGCTCTTCTCAACGTCTAGCCCACCTGTGTATGCCTGCTAGGGTCTCAGGGTGTTTACAAGCACAGGATGGGGTGTGGCAGGCCACGGTGGTCTTGGGAAATGCATTTGGGCAGGAAAACAAAAATACCTGTCCTCACCTTCCTCCTTCCACGGAGGTGGAGCCCTAGCCAGGGACCATGCCCTCCTCTCCCCAGCATTTCTCCCCCTGCCCCCGCCCCTTCCCTATCACTTAAAGGGACCACACCCTTCCCTTCCCAGCACTTCGGAAATGGTTCCTGGTTAATTTTTGAGGAGCCTCCATGCTGTTTTCCACAGTGGCTGGAGATGGAGATGTTTAAAGTGTGTGCACCCATGCCATTGTGTGCTTGGCAGGTCACCTCACAGAACAGCACTGTGATGAGAGCTGGTGGCCTGCCCTCCTTCAGGAGGCACAGGAGCACTGTAGGCCTTCGAGCAGAAGATTGAGGAAATGAGGGGGTGACAGGAAAGTGAGAGGTCTAAAACCAGGACCTGCAGAGGGAATCAAAAGTGTTTTGCCTCGAGAGGAAAGCTGATCAAGACTGCCTAAAGTAACTGACAGCGGTCACATGAGACCATTTTCTCTGCAAAGCTAAACTAGATGCTTTAGTTGTGTAAACCAGAAGTAAAAATCCTAAGCACCCCAGCTGACCAAATGGATCCCCTCTTGACCAAGGGGATTCCAAAGTAATCCTGAAAAACTAGTTCAGACCATGGAGAGAAGGAAGGGGTCAGACATGCCTCATTATACCCTCCTCCTGAAGGTCCAAATAGGAAACACTTGCCATCTGTCATCTCTAAGTGCCTCCTATGAGACCTAATCTCTGTAACGGCCTTGGCCTCCCTTTGTCTCTAGCTCAGACACTCCTTTCTGTTGATTCCAGGTTTTTACTTTACTTTTTGAGACAGGGTCTCACCCTGTCACTTGGGCTGGAGTGCAGTGGCACGGCCACAGCTCTCTCCGGCCTCCAACTCCTGGCTCAAGTGATTTCTCACCTCAGCCTTCCATGTAGCTAGACCACAGACATGTACTACCATGCCTGGCTAGCTTGCTTTCTTTTTTTGAGACCTGGGATTCCAGGTTTTTAGATAATAACTCTTAATCAAGGGTGACAGGAACGCACCGACAGGCACTGGCACGCCTGCAGGCCAACAGCCGGGCAGAGCAACATGGAGTTTGGCTGGGGCGATTGGAGGAGAACCTGGGCCACTGAGTGGCCCAACTCCAGGAGAAAACCATCTTGTAACTAATTGCCAATCAGAAAATCTTTGAATCTGCCTGTGACCTGTAAGCTCCCGTTTCGAGTTGTCCCGTGGTTCCAGACTGAACCAATGTATTGAGTGATGTCTTCCATCCCATTAAAACGTAGAGACCCAAGCTGTAAGCCAACTACCTTGGGCACACGTTCTCAGGACCTCCTGAGGCTGTCACTGGTTGTGGTCCTCACATTTGGCTCAGAATAAATCTCTTAAAATATTTCAGAGTTTTGCTTTATTATCAGCAGTTGTAAAGTGATAGGAAAGAAAATTTGGCTTAATAAAAGCAACATTTCTGACTACATACAGTTGTGGAAAGCCTAGGAATTTATCACATGAGCAGTGTACTCTGATCGCTTCTGGAATGTGTCACGTGACTCAACGTTGGTACTAAACGGACACCGGCCTAGAGGACCTTCAGTTCCCTTTCAGTTTTGAGATTGCTAGGTATGAGTATGATTTTTCTTCTTTTTTTTTCAATATCAGTTTCCTCTAAGATCTAATTTGCAAACTAGTCACCTTTAAGAAAAATCCCGTGTATGACCAGATGTCACTTTGATACACAGAATATTTCTGCCCCTGGCCCCGGCTCCTGCCTGTCCGGCCTGCTCATAAGCCTCTGACCATCCTCAGCAGGGCTCTGATGGTGGTGGCTCTGCCTGGGTTTCTTTCCCACGTGTATTTCCAGCAAACAGTCAGGGTGCCGCCCGTCTGAAATGGGGCAGGTCCTGGAGGGGATGTCCCAACCATGTGGAGAGGCTGGTGAGGGACTCATGCCCGGGGTCCTGGGGATTGCCCCTCCCATGGCGTGGTGCTGCCCAACAGCTGCTCTAGGTGTCTCCTTAGGCCGAGTTACCGTGCACAGCACCCTGGGCTGAGCATGCCATTCCTGCTGTGCCCTGCTGTTTTTGGCCGTGTTCAGGATGTTTCTCCCTTGGCAGTGCTTCCCATGGATTGAGGCAGGAGCAGACCTGCCAGGGAGCCCAAGAAGGCAGGGAAACAGTTGTTCACCTATTCTCACTTTTTCCAGGTTCAAGACAGTGAGGTGGGGAGCTTTCTCTGGGTGAGGGGTGTCTCGGATGTGGAAGTTCAATTCCCATCGTCTCTGCTCGGAATTGTTCCTTTCTCTGTGGCCCCAGGGGCCAGCACATTCTCACATTTTAGTTCTGGGGTATTGCTGGTGCTGTGCCTTTGTTTCTGGTTTTTGGTGGGAGGAGTGTAGCCAGCCTGTGTCTACACCATGCTTTTGGAACCAGAAGTGTACGCGTTCACCCCCAGACCTTCACTATAGGGCCAGGAGTCATCACTGTGATAGAACACATAAAGTCATCACTGTAAAAGAAAACGCACACGTGTTGCTATTAGAAACAATCCATCTAGGGTGCAGCCACACAGGGCACCACATCTGTCTACAGCACTAAAAGTCTTACAGTCACTTAGAAGTCAGGGCAGGGAAGCCAGAGAGTGCTCACGTGTCTGCCTTTATCGAAGTCCCAAACGCCCGTCAGCAAACTGACTGTGTACCTTTTGTTTTAACTTGGATAATTATGCATTATCTTGGCTAAGAATGGCCTGTAATATATGTGGAATATGTACTATAAACCCTTGCTGAGGTCATGTGAGGTCTTCCTACTGATGTATGGCATAATGAAGCCGATGGCAGGTCCAGGAACTGCAGTTGTGTTAAAGCAGGGCTTGATGTGATAATGTTGAGATGTGCAGTAACTAACGTGATGAGATTTCTGTTGGTGAGAGTCGAGGTTTGACGAATGCTGAAGCTGTCTACATTCACGATGGAGGGAAATGCCAATTTCAGCTGGAAGTTGGTGAAAGTAGATGTGATTTTCCCCATGTAATCTTGCTAATAATTCTAATAGGCTGGCCCACGGCAGTTAGGTTAGGCACAGCGTCACAACCACAGGAGCCATTCCTTCAATAAGCCCTTCCCTTCCTCTCCCCGACGTGCCCCCCAGTTCTGTTCTCTGGAGAACCATGACTAACACAGTTGCCCCACCGGACAGCATGGGGAAAGAAACGAATGAGCTCAGGGTGCTGCAGGAACAGCCTGGATGTTTCCAGATCTGCTCCAAAGGAACCCCATAGCTCTGGTAGCTGCAGGACAGAGCTTTCTGAAAACAGAATCTGGAGTCTCCTGCTGCAGGTGGCTGAATTCTAACTGTGCGTGACATCTGCTGTGACACTGAGGGCGTGACCGAGAAGGAACAGGACCCCGAGAACCCAATACAGATGCGTGGCTGCAGCCTGCAGAAGCTGGGGACATTGAGTCCCTGAAGGCGGCAGAACCTCCCTGGCCAGTAGAGGCAGCCTTTCCTCCCAGTCTAGGGAGATTCATCCTGCAAGACGAGCTGGGTTCTCCTCAGCTCCTGTTCTCACCTGTAGATGCTCAACTAGACTCCAGTCCCAGCAGAGCCTGGAAGACAGGGTGCAGAGAGTACCCCTGGGGAGGAGGTACGAGGCCTTCCAGTCAGCACCGGCAGGAATCTGGAGCACGTGGACGAGAGCGGGTGTTGAGAGTGTGGGCGGTGGGAAGCACTCTAACTCTGGGTCTGGCCGAGGCAGGGAAGGGGTCTGCTAGGCCGGGCTGCAGTTGTCACGTATGCCTCCTACAATATGGATGGCGCAGACATAGAACATTCCATCACTGCAGAAAGGTCTGTTAGATAGTCCCCTAGATAGTAAGTATAGGTTTTATTTTGAATCAAGACCTGATCAAGGTAGCATGGTGTGGGCAGAGTGATATTCTAGGCAGAAGGTGTGCATTTTTGCTGTCTTTCTGCTGGTTGGCTTGGCATCTGTGGATGAATGTTCTCACTGCCCTGGTCCCCAGCATTCTCTTCTCACACTGGAGACAGCAGTCCCTGTGCCTCCTGCTTCATGGAGTGCTTGTGAAAAAGTAGTATAAAATGGTAACCTGCTTTACGAAGGTTAAAACAGTTTTCAAAAAAAAAAAGTATTACTCCTTAAAAATGAACTGACCTGGTTTTCCATGTTTTGTTTGCTTTTTCAGATTGTTGACAGAACTGGAATCTCCTGCTTGGTGGCCCTTTAGCTCCAAGCTTTGGAAGACACCATCAGAAACAAAGCCCAGGGAAGGCGTCTCCGTGAAACCAAGTTGTGAACCCTTTGGGAAAGAAGGGGTGCTGATCCAAATTCCTGCCATTATTTCCCACAGAACAGAGTCTCACTTGAAGCCAGGGAGGCTCACTGTCCTCGTGTCTGGGTTGGAAATCCATGATTCCAGTTCTTTGCTCATGCACAGATTTGAAAGAGAAGATGTGGATGACATCAAGGTCCACTCACCTTACGAAATCAGCATCCGCCAGCGGTTTATTGGAAAGCCAGACGTGGCCTATCGTTTGATATCCGCCAAGATGCCAGAGGCTATCCCCATTTTAGAAGTGCAGTTCAGCAAGAAGATGGAGCTGTTAGAAGACGCCTTGGTGCTCAGAAGCACGAGAACCTCTTCCCCTGCAGAGAAGAGCCGCTCTGTCTGGCATGCAGGTTAGTGACTGACAAGGCAGTGAGCGCGTGCACAGACTTCTAAAATTACAGCCAGACTCAGCACGCCTGTGGGAAATGCCTGACAGATGCGTCACCTAGAGCAGCTGCTGGCCTCCAGCTCGCTAGAGACAGCTCGTTTGCTTATACTTAAAAACAATTCCAGACCATTTTCCTTGTGCTTGACATCTGTGAATCTGAAATCACTGAGCGTTAACCTATACACTTGGTAGGTATGTGGATTCCAAAGCAGGCCGGTGCCATGCTGTGGATACAGTTTGTCCTCACCAAAGCTCCTGTGGAACTTTGGTCCCCAGTGTGGCAGGGCTGCTAGGTGATGGGTCACGAGGGCTCTGCCCTCTACGTGGCTTGGTGCTATTCTCGTGGCAGTGAGTGAGTGCTCCCTCTGGAAAGCCTGGATGAGTTCTGGAAATGCATTAGTTCCCAAGAGTGGATTGTTGGGAGGCAGAATGTCCTTCTGGTTCTCTTTGCCTGTGTACGCTTCCCACTTGAGTGTGTCTGCCACAGCAAGAGAGCCCTCACCAGAAGCCAGGGCACGCTCTTGGACTTCCCAGCCCACAGAACTGTCAGCTGACTAAAGCGCTGTTCTTTGTAAATTACCGAGTCTCAGGTGCTCAGTTACGGCGATGCAGAACCTGCTACAACACAGAAAGGGCTTTCAGAATGGGTGCGTCGGAGCAAAAGGAAGCTCCTGCTGTTGTCTCTCTCACCTCCCCTCATTCCGATGTGGGAACCAGCACCTCAGGATTGTGACTGGCACCATCTCCACCTCCCCTGGTGGGGCTGTTCCCGTCACCCCTACTTTGCCCACTCCTGTTTCCCTGGGCATTTAATCTAGGTTTTCCCAGCCTGGCGCCCAGACATGCTATTAGGGATCTGTGTGTGAGAACAGTGCAGCGTGCTTCCATGTGTTTGTGGTGTTCTCAGGTGTGTGTGGCATGGCCACGGTGCCTTCCCACAGACTCCACTGTGGATTGTGAGTGCTCAGCTGGCCTGTCCCTGAGGCAGGGCTGAGGGGCAGACACCCTGGGTCTTGGCATGTCCGCCACGTTCGGCCCACCTCCTCCCTAGCACAGGACTGAGGCTCAGCCGCCGTTGTTCTGCCCGTCTGATGGGAGGCTGGTGGCACCTTGGTGTTAATCCTCACCTTCACCCTTTCCCTGGTTGGGAGGTGGGGCCCCTGATGCCTTGTATTTGTTTTGGCCCTGCAGGTTTTGCTCTATGGATAGCCTGTTCTGTTTTCTTCTTTTCTTGTGTGCCTTCTTCCCTCATGGATGTGCAAGACTTTCCTGCTATCCTAGGTGGTCAGGCTTTAGAGGCTGCAGCCACTTCCTCTGGATTCTCTTCCTCCCTTACCGAAATCTTTTATCTTGCCATGGCAAAATCCACTGATTTTCCCCTGCAGTTTGTCTTGGAGCCCTGATTAAGAAATCCCAAGGTCATAAAAGACTCCATTTTCTAATATTAGCATTATAGCTAATACGCATGCATGTATACATGTGATGCACACGTGTACCAGTGCATGTGTATTGTCATGTATGTGATGTGCACATCCACACTGTAATGCATGTCTGTATGTACAGCATGTAAAGCTGTGCTCTTATGGATTTTGATTGCCAGATGTCTGTTGTAAGAGGGATTTGCTGCTCTTTTGGTTTCTCTAATTTTTCTCTTAAGACAAAGATTTTAGTTCCTGCAAACTGTTTCCCTAACATGAAAATATTTTGCTTGCTATTCTAGATGGCTTCCAGTGTCAGAAAGAAATACACATAATAATAGATTGAGTCCCATGAGCTCCAGGGCTGAATACACACCTTAAAAACAAAAGGTGCACACCTTAGTTACGCAACACGTGGTTGAATCACAGAGAACCTACCACCTTCCTGTATATGCCTGAAAGTCAGGGGTTACAAAGAGAGGCATTGACTCCTATGGAGAACAGTACACGGTGTGAAACATAACGAAATCCATTGATCAAGATGAGAGGATCAAAGGTCACTGTGAGCCGCTGTCACTAAAGTGCAGGCCCAGACCCGAGTGTCCCAGTGGGAGGCAGGCTACGGAAGCATAGGAAGAGGGTCTCCACCCACATGCAGGGTGAACGGCACAGCTGCCCTACTGCACATGGCTCAGGGAGGAGGTGTGTGACATGCTGTGGAGGTGGGGACTGTCCTGCCAGGGACTGAAGTGGGGGCCCAGGTATCTGTGGCTTCAGGCAGGAAGTCTGTAACATTCTGTTGTGTTCAGGACTGCTCTCCAGGGTCCCAGTAGAGAAGCGCTGGGTGTGTTCAGTGGCCGTGCCACGTCACCATGCCGGCTGCACCGTGGTCACCAGCACTCCTGTGTTCCACAGCCTGGTGTTTGTAAGTGGGCTCCTGCAACCTGTGCTGTTTGAGGTCAGAGGGGAATCATGGCCTTTTCTGGGGGCCTCAGTGTGCATTCAGGATTCAGGACTGATAGCATCATCCTCCCTGCTTGCCTAGGAGGGCCCCCTTAATTTAGGTCACCCAAGTGTGGGCTGTAGCCACGGTGAGCACCATGTGTTCACTTGTAGCGCTGCACCCAGCCCCTGCTATTTTGAGTACCTAGGCAGCCATCTTGCCACGTGGCACACGCAGCACACAGGGAGCCCCAGGGGACTGCTGCGTGTGTGGGATGGACTGTGCCTCCTGTGAGGGACTCTTGCTCACTTTCGCCCCCATGGGCAGCCTGGCCTGTCCAGGTAGGTACTGGGCAGCTGCGCCTCCGAGGGTGTTTGTGGAGAGGCTCCGTGCAGGGCTCTGAGCCTGCGGTGCCCTGCCTGGTGCTGTGTTAACAAGAAGGCAGCACCCCGTTTGCTGGGAGCTCAGTAGTGTGTGGGGCACCCACAGCTGTCAAGCCTTGCCTCTGCTTGCTGCTTGCTGCTGTTGTCCATGTGTAGGCACGGGGACTCCGCCAGCTTCCCTATGTTTACTGCTCTCTGCTGGAAACTGCAGGCTGCCTGGAGGTGGAAACCATGACGGATGTCTCAGAAATCCCTGCCTCTGGGGCAAGCGCTGGTGTGCGTGTGGCCACAGGGTGGCAGCCTCGCGACGCTGGACGGTCGCCTGTCAGGGAGGGACACCGGTGCCGGGAGCCTTTCCAGAGACCTCTGCAGGGCTGTGTGACCAGCATACGTTTTATTTTATTCCAGACGCTCGTCCTTGCCCGATCCCGCCTCGTGCTGGAGGAGCACCCAGTATTTCACGATCACCATCCTCATATGTCCCTGGGCCCTGCGGGCTCTGACAGCCGTCAAGAGGCTGGGCCAGGGCTTGCACGGCGGCCTCCGCCTCAGATTTTCTTGCAGTCAGCCTGGGCTGTGGTTTGGGAGGAGGGCCACAGGGTGAGGTTTCCTTCCCACACATCCTACCAAGGGACATGCACAGCATTTTCTTTTTCTTTTTATTTATTTTTTTCTTTCAGAGACGGAGCCTTGCTCTGTCACTCAGGCTGGAGTGCAGTGGCGTGATCATAGCTCACTATAACTTCAACCTCTTGGGCCCAAGACATCCTCCTGCCTCGGCCTCTCGAGTAGCTGAGACTATAGGCATGTACCACCATGCCTGGCTAATTTTTTTTTCCCCAGATATGGGGTCTTGCTGTGTTGCCTAGGCTGGTCTGGAACTCCTGGGCTCAAGTGATCCTCTAGCCTCAGCCTCCCAGAGTGCTGGCATTTCAGGCGTGAGCCTCCACTCTGCTGTGCACAGTGTATTTGAAGGCTGTCTGTTCACTGAGTTTTTCTTTGTCGCTCACTGCCTGTCTTGGGGCTAAGGACTGCCTGGGCTTCCAGCTCCCTGACAGCCGTGCCTGTCCCCTTGCTTCCCTTGGCTGTGTGTCTGTCCACATGGCAGCACCAGCTGCAGGGCAGGGCAGGAGGCAGGCGCGTGGAGCGGGTATTTAGTCCAGGACGCGAGCGCCGGGTGGCTGAGGTTGTCTCTGCAGGTCGTTAGTGCCAGGCATCTTTTGAGGTAGAGGAGTTCCCACTGGAGCTGAAGCACGCAGGAGCCTGCTGTGGCACCGCAGGCCCAGGGTGGGCTGACTGGGGAGCCGAGGGGCACTGCACCAGCTGGCCTGGAGCCTGTCAGGACGCCCCCACCTGTGCACACGGGTTGGTTGGGTGGGAGATGGAGCACGCAAGCTGCTGTCTCCTCCGTTCAGCTCCTGTGCCGTCCTTACCTATGCCCCAGTTTCACGGGCCTGTGAGGCCCAGTGGAGGCCTTTCCTGGGTGATGGGTGAGTGTTGGGAAGCCAGAGCTGAGGGAAGGGGTGTGCTGGAGACAGGCAGGCTGGCCCAGGTACCCGATCCCGGCGGGTGCAGGCAGCCTCTCCTCGGCACTGCAGTGAAGATAGATAGGTGTGTCCTACACAGGGCCCACTGGCTGGGCTCTTCCTGGCTGTCGGCCTGCACCCCCGGACCAACAAGGCCTTGCCTGGGTACCACAGACGCCTCCAACTCATGACAGTCGAGTCACCCTACCCCACTTGCTGTGAACCACCTGCAAGGCTTTTGTTTAATTGCAGTCACTCATGACCCCGAGACAGAAACCATCCTTACAGAACCAAATTAAGCTTTCCTGGAAGAAATGTCAAAAAGTATGACTCAGCAGCTCCACGAAGGCTGTGGCTCTGGAGACGGTGGGATGCAGCCTCACCAGGACCCCAGCCACCGCACCCAGCAGAAACATCCATGGCTTGAGGCTTAAGCACTCTGTCCAGCTTTCTGAATGTTCAAGCAAAATTCTATTTGTTCAAATTCCAGAACGGCCTGAGTGTCTCTCCCTGTCATGTTGCTTCAGGTGCTGAAGTGAAGGCCATTTCCTAGGTGGGGAGGCCCAGGGTCTCTGCCCTTAAGAGCCTGTGTGGGCTGGGCATAGTGGCTCATGCCTGCAGCCCAGCACTTTGGGAGGCCAGTGTGAGAGGATCACTTGGGTGCAGGAGGTCAAGACCAGCCAGGGTAACATAGCAAGACCCCTGTCTCTATAAAATATAGAGCGGGTCTTGTGTGGCATGCCTGTGCTCTCAGCTACTCGGGAGGCTGAGGCCAGAGGATCACTTGAGCCAGAAGTTTATGATCAGCCTGGGTGACATGCTGTCTCTACAAGATAAATAAATATATATTTTAAAGCCCATGTTGTAGCCAGGGAATTGCAGCTCGAGAAGATGCTGAGGAAAGCACACAGCTTGGCCCGACATCCAGCAGGTCAGAGGGCACAGCACGGAGCAGGTGTGTAGTCCATCATGCAGCCAACTATAGACCAGACCAGGAGAGCCTGGGGCGGGGCGGGGCGGAGCGTGGGGGCTCTCGGAGAAAGGGGCGCTGGCAGAGTGCAGGCTGGGCAGCTGGTGCTCCTCCATTCCCATGGCCAAGGCTGTGCTGGTGCTTCGAGGTGGACGGGGGCCACCTCGTGATCTCAGGTCACCAGGGGCACGCATCCTTTGGCCTGTGCACTATGGCTCAGCATTTCAGAGAGGGGCTCCTCAGAGCAGCTTCACGTGAGGGCCCGCGGGCTCCGTTGGGGAATGCACAAATTCACAGATGTGCAGCAGTGGGCCGCAGCTCCTCAGAGAGCACCCACGTACAATATGGGTGTTGCAAACCCAGGTTGTGAAATCATTGTGCTTGGTTGCAACCAGATTCTGTTTCTGAAGAGTGGGTTATGAAAACAGCCTTCTGGGCCATCTGTCCCACAGGTGCCATCTGTGAAGAGAGCCCCTCACTTCCCACTGAGTCTCACCGACTCCCCCACTGCACCTGCACCCATCCTTTGGGCCTGGAGCTGTTCCCTCTTCAGGGCCATCCCTGTGCTGAGTCCCCTGTGGCCCTGGGCAAGGCTGGTCCTTCTCTGCCCAGCTGAGCATTATCAGGGGAGATGAGCTTGTAAGGATTGTTTGGGGGGTGATAGGCTGGCAGGGGTGGCATGTTGGAGGTGGCATCTCCCCTGTGGAGGGTGGGATTGGAAGGTGAGCTTGTAAGGATCATTTAGGAGGTGATAGGCTAGAGGGGGTGTGCCCTCTGTCCCAGCGGGAGTGCGCCTCCAGATGTCCCCCCTTTCCTTTTCTGAGGGTGTGCTCAGACACTGCCCCGGGCTGCTGCATTCATCAGGAGTGGGGAGCATGGGCTCTGCTGGCCGAGGTAGGACCCTGGGGAGGATGCTGAGGCTGCCCGCCTGCCCCATTGGGAGCTGGCACTGCAGCTGCACTCCCTGCCTGCTTCCTGGCATCCTCTTAAGTGATGGCTGCACCAGATGTGGGGGAGCTGTGTGTCCTGCAGAAGGGCAAACAAGAGACTTTAATTGCGCTCTTATCTGGGCCCTGGGGTGTCAAGGCTGCCGTTGAGGTTGCTCGGTAAATAAAGGGCAGGTGGCCTCTGCGGGAGGCACACTGGGCCACCTTCCGTGGGGTGAGACTGCCCCTGGCAGGTGGCCTGGAGCGCCCCGAGGCTTACCGCAGGGCGGAAACACCCAGGTCCTCTCTGAGCCTGACCACGGGCAGCTCTGACTCACCTCCCACCTCGGTGGCGCAGACGGTGGCTGTGCTTGGCCCCGGGCCGCGGGCCACTTCCTGTGCTCTCAGGAACCGCAGCCTTCTGGAGAGCAGCTCAGATGTCACTGCAGTTCCCCAGTCATGCATCTGACGTGCGTTTCACCAGGGCTCAATGATTCTTGTGTTTTATACTCCAGATCTTCAGTCTTTCTCAAAAAAAAAAAAAAAAAAAAAAAAAAAAAAAAACCACGTGGGGTGTAGGCCTTTTACTCTGAGAGGTAGAGAGCAGCCCCCGCATGTTTGCAGTGTTGCAGACCCTGATCCTTCAGGGCCGGGTGGCAAGGCAAGGCTTGCAGAGGCCGGGAGAGGGAGCAGTCCTGCGTGTGGTGGCGGGAGGAACACCGCCTCTAAGACCATGATCTGCCATCCAGAGCGCATGAGGGCTGTCGCACCTCTGAGAGATGTCAGTGCTGACCATCTGCTCTCCTTGCAGCATCTGGGCTGATGGGCCGCGCCCTGCACCGTGAGCCACCCGCAGGAGACCGGGAGGGCACGGCCCTGCTGCAGATGAGCCCACCAGCCCTGTCCGAGGCAGATACCCAGGAACTAACCCAGGTAAGGTGTCCCCAGTGCCACACCAGCCAGCGCTGTGTCCCGGTCCTCCCACAGGCTGCTCGCCTCGCCCTCCTGACCACAAACAAGCTGTGGGTCATCCGTGTTGGCCTCACACCCAGGAGGAGGTGCTGGCCTCCACTCAGCAGCTGCAGAGAGGGAGGAAAGGCAGTGTCCATCCCAGATCCACATGCCTCCTGGAAGGAGTACATATAGCTGCCCTGGCTACCACCTGCACCCATTGTACGTGTGCACATGTGTGTGCACACAGGTGTTTATGTTTACTGCGCATGTACATGTGCTTGGTGTGCATCATGTGCATGTACTGTACACATGTGCATTTATGTATACTGTGTATTCTATGTGTACACATGCTATGCACGTACTTGTATTAGTACACGTGTGCGCGTGTGTGTGCACGTGTGTGCTGTGCGTGTAGATGTGCTGTGTACCTTGTATGCAGTGCATGGGCATGTGTGTCTGTTGTATGTGGAGCATGCGTGTACTGTGCCTGTACGTGCATGTGTTCTCTATGTCTGTGTGTGCTGCGCATGTGTATGCACGTGTGCTCTGTATACTGTGTGTGCATGCTGGCACATGCCTGCTGTGTGTTGCGTACTCTGTGTGTGCACTGCATGCATACATGCACGGTAGGGTGAGGGCTCACTCAGCTCTCATGTGCTGAGTACTAGTTCTTAAGGAAGCTGAGCACTTTGTGCCTAGGAGGCTGGAATTTTAATGTTCAGTGTAAACACCCCTGTGTTGTCCAGGAATTGCTGGCCATTATACTGGCTTTCCTTCTGCCTTCTCAAGTAATTTTTGAAGCTGTACCCAGTCATCATATCACTCTATTTGTAAATATCTCTATATGTATTATTAAAGGATGAGGGCCATTCAGAGAGAGCCATACTGCCACTGTCACCTTAGGAAACAGGAAGTTGTCCCTCAGCATCATCCAGTCCCCAGGCAGTGCTCCACCCTGCCGAGCCCTTGCTGAAGGGTGTGTCCCTCAGGGTGTGTGGTGTCACGCAGCTCGTCTCCAGGTGCAGCTTCCGTCTTGTCTTCCCTTGCAGTTGATTCCTTGAAAAAGCGAAGCTGTCTGTTGGGCTGAGACTGTGCACTTTGGATCTTGCAGTTCTGTGTCCATGCAGGGTGTGGGCTCCCCGTCCCTGAGCCTCTGAGTCGGCAGGTGGGTCTGGGGCTCTGTCAGGCCTGGCCCTGTTTTTGGAGGGAGTGTTCTGTGGGTGGCTCTGCCCGTGGCCACCAGGAGGTGGATAAAGACGCTCTGTCTCTTACGCCTGTTTTTGAAAACCAGTTCTTACTTTATGTGTCTGTGTACGCATAAACTCCTGAGGCCAGCTTGTTTGGGGAAAAAGGTGTTCATTTTTGCTCTGGGGTAATTCAAGTGGACACAGCTTGTCACTTTTTCCTCCCAGCCTCACTTAGTCATGTCTGGTAATGGCACACACAGTGCTGCCTGGTAGGTGTAGCCAGCTCACTGTGCAGGTTCCTAGTCACCTTCAGGTACACTCATTGCCTCCAGAACGTTCTTATCCCGGGTCTCGTTTGCTCAGGGTTTTTGAGAAATCCCAATACTATAAAGACAGGCTTACCTGGTTCTTCCGCAGCCATCCTCCTGAGAGCACCTCAGGGTGCATAGCTGGGACTGGCAGAATGTGAGCACACCCCACTCCCACACCCCACAAAGGTGTCCATGGCCGAGATGCTTGCTGTGTTCCACCGTTGTGTTTAGACTGAAGTAGGAACAAAGTTTTAGGATGAAAAGTCGGAAGCTTATCTGTTGACTGTGATGGTGGCCATGTAGTTGGAGAGGCCCTCCAGTGTCCACACGTCAGGCTCTCCTGCCATGTGTGGCATGTTCTTCACCTCAAACCCGGGAGCGATGGGGAGGTGCTCAGGTGACTGTGTGAGCTGCGGGTGAGCGGGGCTCCCCAGGACTGCGTGGGAGTCATCATTAGAGACCCAGCAAGCCCAGTGACTCAGCGCCAGAAGGAGCAGCCTCCACACTCAGGACTCTGGCATCAAGGCCAGTGGCGGAGCGGGAGGAAGCAGTGACCTGAGGGATGGCTGGGGAGGGCCCAGGAAGGCCTGGCAGGCCTGAGGGGTAAGGGCAGCATGTTGGGCAGATGCGGGCCCCCTTCTTTGCAAAAGGGGCCTGGTTACAACAGGGGACCGTCTTTTTGAGGCAATACATGTGTTTCCTATTTAGAGAATTTCTAGTGCACAGTTGAAGCTCAAGCAGAAGCCAGAGTGAGTTACATTTCTGGGGAAAACAAAAATGCTCGAAACCCCCTTCATCCCTGCATTCAGCTGTGGTTTTTGTTGCAGATGCTATTAAAGCCATCACGCTGAAATGTGTCCCAGTGGTGGTGTGGGTTGCAACAGGGGGTGCTCAGGAGAGCGTGGCTGTGACCACAAAGGCCAGGCAGGGCCCAGGTGGGGATGGTGCGGCGAGCCCCGCTTTCTGCTCTGTGGGGTCCTGGCTGCTGCTCACGTGGCTGCGGAGGGCGGAGGGAGGTGAGTTTGCAGAGCCCTCGGCTTGCTTCTGTTGTCTGCTCCTCTTTGCGGCTGTGGAATCCGCTGGGGGCCACGCCATGGATGTGGGGCCTGGACATGGTACAAGTGGAGGTGGTATCTGGCAGTTCCCTGGGACACTCCAGCTCATGTGGCGTCATCTATCTTGTTCTGCTTTGGGGCTGCTGTGTCCATGTCCCTCTGTCTCCTGGGAGGAACCAGGTGGACACTCAGTGTAGACAGACACTGGGTCTGGTGGAAGAGTGGGTGGGAGCCTCACTGGTGGCCGATGGGAAAGAAGTCTGCTGTACTCCTGCCGTGGCTCCTGCCAGGAACGGACATGCCATGGCTGGTCCCTGTGGGTGCGGGTCCCAGTGGGTGCTTGGGTGATGCCTCAGCCTCCTGCCTCGTGGCATGGGGCGGCCGGTCTGCCACTGCCTCTGACATTTCCATAAACAGCAAATGCAAACACACATGGTAACAGGAAAGCCACAAGACTCGTCCTGTGCAAGTCAGAGGGTTCCCAGGAAGCAGAGCCTGGGGCCGCGACGGGCGAGTCTGAGAGTGCGGCCGGGCTGCCTCTCGTGGGGCTCACATGGGGATGTGGGCTGGCGGCTTCTGGGCATGGGGGGACCCAGGTGTTTCTGTCCTCGCGTCTTTGGCAGAAACCCTCTGCCCGCCTCTGGCATCAGTCCCACGTGGACCTGCTCTGGTGATTTGCTGAAACATTCCACAGTCATTCTGGGGCTCCCTGCTTTCTATGAAACCATCTTCAGAAGGTAACGTCCCTTTCTTTCCTTTTGTGTTTTTCTTTTTTAGGAAGTGGAGAACACATTGTATCATCCTCAGGGACCCACTTTCTGGTCTGCCTTCCCTCACTTCTCTGTCCCTGATGTCTCTAATGTAAACTTCCCTCAAGTCACCTGTGTCCTCTCCTAGTCTTGGGGCGGGAGGATGTCAGTGGTTTCCTGCAGACCTAATGAACATAAGAGAATCATATTCACAGGAGTGTCTCCCTGCCTGGACTAAGGGTCTTGATCAGTGTGTGACCACCCTGCCTTCTTTGAGCTCACTGACCATGTCAGGGGCCGACAGCCCCATGTGACGTTGGCCCCCACAGTCCCCAGGGGGGACACTGTGTGGACACCGTGATCTGTCCTGAGCATACCTGACACAAGCATTGCTCTCCTGCCTGGCCCCCGTGGGAGTGTGGAGAAGGAGCCACCCCAGCCCTGGGAGTCGGAGAGCGAGTTATAGGCAGAGGGGATGGTGGGCCTGGGCTCTGGGAGGACACTGGATGAGGCACCCACCCTCTGAGACCAGCCAGGCAGGAGTGGGCCTTGCCTGTCAGTGAGGAGGGACGGGGAGGCCAGACTGCTCCTCCACTCAGCATCTTATGCCTTCCTGCTTTTCCAGGCTATTCATGTCACGTATTCATCACAACGCAGACAGGAGGTCAATTCTGGGGAGCTACGAGGTTTTGTGATGCTGTTTTTATCTATGGCCTTGACATCAGTCAGATGGGCACTGAACTAAGCTGAATGTTTGGGGATCTGTGCCTTCACTGCGAGTTCCTGTCACTCATGCTCCTGACACCACGTCACATGCACTTTCTAAATGCTGATCCAGAAGAGCCTAGGAGTGGGGACAGGGTTCCCTATAGCCCCCGACATCCACACAGCAGGAGGCCACATCCCAGGGGCCCCTGGACCAGGCATGGGAGCCCTGCATGCACAAGGCTCGAGGGCGCCCCATAACTCAGACCTGCGGCGGCTGTGTGGAGGCAGCATCACAGGGAAACACCACACCTTCCCTTCTAGCCTGCGTGCTCTTTGGTAATGGGCTCATGCTGGTGAGCACCTGCTCGCCCGCCTCTGTGCGCTTTGCCCACCCCTACGCCCCGCACCCTCTGCTGTTGCTGGTGAGCCTCTCCTGTACCCACACCTCCAAGCCCTCATTGCACTGGGCATGACTGTGGAGGACTCAGGATGCTGGGCTGAGCAGGGCCCGTGGCTTCAGAGTGATGGGGACAGGAGGCCGTGCCAGGCACTGCCCTAGGGGTCCTGATGCTCAGTGCTCACACCAGCTGCTCTCAGTTACCCAGGGGGTACCTGGGAAACTGCCATTGCAAGGCGCCTGGCGGGAGAGAGTGCGGGACCTGTGCTGAGGGGTGAAGGCCAGTGCCTGCTGAACCCTCCCAAGGCCACTCCCAGGCTGCGCCGGCTGAGTGGTTGAGCAGAGATGGAGTGCTGAGTGGGTCTTGAAGCTTGGAGGACTTGCCCCACCCCAAGCCTTTGCTGTCCTCCTAGTTGTTGCGGTAATGAAGGCTGTGTGCCGGGCAAGTGCTGGGTGTCACAGAGGCCTTGGCTGTGGAAGGCAGTGGGGAGTTTCTCTTCGTTCCATTTTTAAAAATTATGGTGAAATATATAAAACACAAATTTTGCCATTTTAACCTTTTTTTTTTTTTT